TATTTTAGAGAAAGACCCATGTACAGCTGAAAAAAATGTGTATTCTGATGTTGTTGGGAGGAACACTCTGTAGACATCTACTAAGTCCATTTGTTTACAGCTTTGGTTCAGAGCTGTTACTTCCTTGCTGATTTTTTGTCCAGTTGACCTATCTCTTTGTGTCAGTGGGGTGTTACAGTAGAGGTCCCCTGTTACAATAGTGTTATTAATTATATGGGTTTTCATGCCAATTAAGATTTGTCTTATAAAAATTGGAGCTCTGATATTTGGTGCATAGATGTTTATGATTGTTATCTCATCCTCTTGCAGTTTTCCCCTGACTAGTATGTAGTGACTCCTTTATCTCTTTTGATTGTTGTCGGTTTGAAGTTCACATTGTCTGCAAACAGAATAGCTACACCTGCTTTTTTCTGGATTCCTGTTGCATGGAGGATTGTTTTCCATCCTTTGACTTTTAGTGTGTGGATTTCCTTTTCAGTGAAATGTGTTTCCTTCCTGTATACAGCGTATTGTTGGATTTTGTTGTTTAATCCACTCTGCCAGTCTTTTTCTTTTGACTGGTGAATTGAGGCCATTTACATTTATAGTTATAACTGATATGTATTGATTTATCATTGTCATATTATTTATTTACCTTGGTGTCCTACTTTTTCTACCTGTTTACCTGCTTGATCTTCTTGACGTTTCATTCCTACTGTTGTTTTCAAAATTGCGGTCAGATTTTTCTCTGTCTAGAATATCTTTTAGTACTCTTTGTAATGCTGGCTTTGCGCTCATGAAGTTCTTCAGTTGTTCTTTGTTGTGAAAATATTTTATTTCTCCATTGAATTTGAGGGATAGTTTGGCAGGGTACATCAGTCTTGGTTGGAAGCTGTTCTGTCTCAGGACCTGTAATACTTCACTCCAAGCTCTTCTCGATTGGATGGTTTGTGCTGAGAAGTCTGCCGTGATTCTGATGGGCTTTCCTTTATAGGTAATCTGTTTCTTTTCTCTAGCAGCTTTTAGTATTCTGTTCTTTTGCTGGAGATCTGGGAACTTGACTATTATATGTCTAGGTGTAGTTTTATTTTGGTTGTGGTTGTTTGGAGTTCTGTATGCCTCATTTAGGTGTATATCAGGTTTTGTATCCATGCTTGGGAAATTTTCTGGTATTATTTGTGCAGATATTCTTTTTATGTCAGTTGTGTTGCTTCCTGCTGTTTCATTGACTCCTATAATTCGTACATTATTCTTCTTTGTCTCACCTTGCAGCTGTTGAATTGACTTTTCCTGGATCCTTGTTGATTTTACAAGATCCTTTCTTTCTCCGTCGCTAGGTGCCATTTTATCTTCAAAGTCTGAGATTCTATCTTCAGCTTCATTCAAGTGGTTTTGGCAGCTTTCAATGGCAATTTTGTTTTCCTGGAAGTCTCTGAATCTGGTTCATGTGTTCTAAGTCCTTTCTATATTTTTCATTGAATGCTTCTGACCCTTGCCTTCGTTCTTCTATTTTCTTATATATTTCTTCTTCAGACTTTTTGAGCATTTCCTTCATTATTATTGTCATTTCACTTTTTGCTTGAGAGATTATTTCTGATCTCATCTCTTCTGTGGCCTTATGAAGTTGTTTCTTTACTTCCATTGCAATCATTTCAGCTATTTCAGTCATGTGTTTTTACCAAGTTCTCCTATGTTGATGTCTCCTGGACTTGTTCTGATTGGGGTGGAGTTCTGGGATTGTGTTTTTCCTCTGAAAAACACTACTTAGTCTCAGGTTTTCCGGCAGTTTTTGATTTGTATCTAGTTATCCCAGGGCTCAGATACGGGAACTGGTGTTAGCTGATGGTCGACCATCTGATCCAGCGTCCGCTTGCAGTTCAGGGCACATGCACGACCCAGACTCAGGTTGCACTGGTGTGACATTCCCGGTCCAGTGGACCTATGTCTTCAGGCAGTTCAGGGTACAGATATAATCTAGACACAAACTGCAGGGTCTGCAGTTTGTGAATGACCTGATTCTGTGTGTCCAGTCAGTTCAGGACACATACAGGAATGAGATGCAGCCCGGATGGGTAGCAGTCACAGACTTCCCATGCCTTCGACTCACTTGGGGGTCCAGGCAAAGGTAAAGCACGAACTCAAACCGCAGGTCCCGCAGCTCCCGGAGCACTCGCTCACTTGGCACAGGGTGCACGGGGGCTGGGAGAGTCTGCATGCCCCGCTCCCAGCCAGAGAAGTCCCTGGGGCTTCTGAGCGAGGACCTCCCCTCTGCTGTGGGTGCAGGGAGGGGAGAGACTCAGTCTGTAATGGCGGCGGGGTCCTGCGTCACTCGCTGTGCTCTCAGGAAGTAGATGGGAAATACCTGGCTCTCTCCACGAGTTTCAGCTGGGAACCATGGCTGTGTGAGCCAAGCATGGCCTTGAACCATGGGTCCAGCAGCTGCCGGAACACTTGCTCACTCATCACAGGGCTCGTGGGGACTGGGACTGTGACTGTTTTCTTGTTTTCTTAATCACAGTTATTTTCTATATGTGACTTCTTCCTGTTCCCTAGTTTTGAGTAGGTAGTTTTTCTACATATGCGCAACAGTCTTACCCAAATGTCATGTCTGAAAAGCTGAAGTTTTTCTACATATGTGCAACACTCTTACCCAAATATAATATCTGAAAAGCCAAAGTTTTAAAGTAAATGTTTTAAGCAGGTAAGGTGAAAAGAGACCTAACAAGATCTTTAAAAACTAGGTACAGAAATGGGAGATAATCTCTTTCTTTGCCTTATGTATGATGTGTTCATTTTATTGTTTCATCGTATTTTCATTAAAAATCACTTAAACCTTTATTGAATTCTTTGCTAGGGGTTCTTGGACAGGAACTGTGGAATGAATTTGAGATTTTTCATACTGTATTCTAGAGCTTACATTGTAGTTATATACATAAGTAATTGACATCTTTTGCTTAGTCTTTTTACTCTTAAACACTGTTTTAGTATTTGAACCAAAGTAATTTTAAAATATACATTATAAAATATACCCAGGAATGGTCTAGTATAAAAAAATTTGAATATAAATATCTAGACTTGTATCTCAGATTATTAGCTGCAAAGAGTATGTCATATCAGACATGGGAATAATACTTAGTTTCTGTTTTTGTTGTTTTTGACTTTTGGAAAATATCTGGTTTTCCACCTAGATAAGTACAGAGTTGATTTACTTGGAATATTTCTTGCTGATTTTAATACTCCCATATAAGATTACATCTAATATCTTCAAGGGGGCTAGAGGGTACAGATATTGTTCACGTGTGTGTTTTTAGTATCAGGGGGTAGCATTTACAAAGGCAATTTTGCCTAGCACACAGATCATTTTAACTGGTATAAATAGTTTCAGTTGGGGACTTGAATGTTAGTACTTTGGAAGACTTACTCCATCTTTCAAAACAAAGGATAAGTACATGTCAGAAAATAATACTGCTTATGGGTAATTAAAGTGGGTACATCCTTGTTTCTGTGAAACTTAGTTGTATAGTGTCATAAACTTGATACTTTTGTGATGCTAACCTCAGAGAGTGATAGATTTATGGAAACTTCTTTTATCTATTCATCTTTTTTGGCAGTTGTTGTTTTAATAATAACAACAAAATAGAAAAAACATGCTAAGTGGAAAGAATCCTAAAAGATATGAACTGTGTTTATAAGCTTCGTATGAATCTCAGTTTCTGTAGAAAGGAAAAAGTCAAGCCTCTTAGAGTGAAATAAAATAAACTGTAAAACAAAATTGTGATAAAATAACATATATTGTTACATTATCATTTTAAACCAAACGCCCAAACTTAAGATGATGTTGTTTTAAATTTTGATGGTCATTTTAGGAGAGTTCCATACCAAATCTAAAATTACCAGAATTTTTATTTTTTTAATTTTAATTTTTTTTTTAACTACCAGAATTTTTAGAAGGAAGAGTAATAGGAGATTGGAGAAAAAGAGGGGATGCATAGCTATTTCATCCTCTTTCTTCTCTTCAAATTTAAACTTGAAGGTTATGAATACTGATGGCACTGGAAGACGAGTACTAGTGGAAGACAAAATCCCTCACATCTTTGGGTTTACTTTGTTGGGTGATTATGTTTACTGGACTGACTGGCAGAGGCGCAGCATCGAAAGAGTACACAAACGAAGTGCAGAGAGGGAGATCATCATAGATCAGCTACCCGACCTCATGGGGCTAAAGGCCACTAATGTTCATCGAATCATTGGTAAGAAATTCTCAGATCTCTTAGAAATGGAAGCCAAGACCAAGAAAAAATAAAGAGAATCAATGGCTTGTAAAGGAGCAATATATTTTATTCATGCTTGAGACAAAGTAGAAATCATTGTTAACTCTTTACATAGGCTTACTGTTATGGCTATGAAACTTGGCTGTGCATGCATAAACACTTGCATACTTTTGTCAGAAGAATTCAATCCTATTGTATGAAGAATGCACTTTATTTTAAAGCTGACTGTGGGTATGAAGGAAAGTAGTTTGCCTTAGTTTTGTTCCTTATTAATCCTCATGTTGTTTGTTTGTGGGAACAGACTTGAAACACTAGATTAGGAGCACTGTAATCATATGTCTTTGTGAACCTGTGCATGCTAATTTAAAAGTAAAATGTGTTGATTACATCAGTGTATGTGTCCTTCTATGCCCTTTCATAAACTGATTTATCTTTTAGGTTCCAACCCTTGTGCTGAAGAGAATGGGGGGTGTAGCCATCTTTGCCTCTATAGACCCCAGGGCCTTCGCTGTGCCTGCCCCATTGGCTTTGAACTTATTAGTGACATGAAGACCTGCATTGTCCCAGAGGCTTTCCTTTTGTTTTCACGGAGAGCGGATATCAGACGAATTTCTTTGGAAACAAACAATAATAATGTGGCCATTCCACTGACTGGTGTCAAAGAAGCTTCTGCTTTGGATTTTGATGTAACAGACAATCGAATTTATTGGACCGATATATCACTCAAGGTTAGTAAAAGAGTTGGAGTATTAAAACTGGGGATTAATAAAAAAAGGAGAACTTCGTGGATTTCTGAATTTTCGTGCTATGACCCACCTCCCTTATTGCTTGATAGGGAGAGTTCAATAAAAGCCCTTACGTTTTTAAAAGAAATGAAGGGGAAGGCCCTTTCAATATTTTGTAAGGTGTTTTTATAAAAGATACTTTGCTAAAGTGTTCTAAATCTGCATGATATATTCTTTCCCAACCTTGTTGCATTTGAAGATAACAAATGGCATTTTCTTTAGCTACCTATGTAAACATAGTATATGTCACATAAAGTGGCTTATAGTGGCTTGACTTGATATATCTTAAACTTTTGAAGTATTGACTGAAGTAGGAAGTGCCAATTATGAGGTATAGTTTATTATCTTTTTCCTAGAGTTTATTTTCTTTTTCCTTCGCCCTGTTGAGAAGCATATTGGGATAGAAAGAGAAACTCCTGAGCAGAAAATCTGGGTAATAGTCTTTCCTTCTTCCAGGTTGTTGTGGGTTTGTTTGGATAAGTTATATAAACTTTGGTCTTGTGTGCAGAAAATGTGGGTTGTTAGAGCCGGGCATTGTTGAATTCTGATTGTGTTCAGTAAAACCTATTGAGTGAATAAATGAAACAAGTCTTGGCTTTTATTGGATGGTTTTCTAAATTTTGTCATCTTAAAATAGAGATAATGTCTGGTTTGCAGGGGTGTTGTACTAAATGAGAAAAATCTCTTGGACACAGATTTCTTGGGACAGTACTTGATAAGAAGTGGCCCTTATTATTAGCTTGAATTATGATTTTTTAAATTTTATGGAGTTAAAGGCTACAGTTGTAATAATAGAATATAGTTATTTTATAAAGTATGATGTTGAGATCATCTCATTTTACACAGTGATTTGGCATTCTCTTTAGATAGCTTCAAAATTGGCTGCAAGAGTCCACAGCATTCTAGTTACACCTTTTTCTTTTGGTTACTAACAAATTTTTTAAAATTTCAACCCACTATCTTATTAGAATAAATTTTTGGTTCTTAAAAGTTTCAAAATTTTCTCTCTGAAGTGGCAGTAAAGTAGTTGCGTTTATTAGAGATTGACATAAAAGTTTTCTGCGATTGTAAACTCTGAATTTTATTAGGAAATAGTATGCTCTTGACATTTCCACATCTTTCTACCCTAAGCAAAAAAAAAGGCCAAACCTTCCCTGTGCTCAGTATTTTACACATAAACTGTGTGATGTAGTTGTGCATTTTATTTTTGCAGACCATCAGCAGAGCATTTATGAATGGCAGTGCACTGGAACATGTCGTAGAATTTGGCTTAGATTACCCAGAAGGCATGGCAGTGGACTGGCTTGGGAAGAACTTATACTGGGCTGACACAGGAACAAACCGAATTGAAGTGTCAAAGTTGGATGGACAGCACCGACAAGTTTTGGTTTGGAAAGATCTAGACAGCCCCAGAGCTCTAGCCTTGGATCCTGCTGAAGGGTAAATACCTTTCTGTATGTATTCTTTGCAACTACATTGTACATTTTAAGGAACATGGCCTGATTATAGATTATATTCTTGATGTCTTAAATGATGTTTATAAATAATCTAACAGGTAAACAATAGGCTTTAAAAAGCATTTGAGAATTCACAGATTAATATTCATTATTAGCTAGATTTCAATCCCCCCGCCCTGTTTTGTGAGACAAGGTCTTATTATATACAATAGTTCAGACTGGGCTGGAACTTAGCAGTCCTCCTGCCTCCCTAGTTCTGGGGTTATCGGTGTATACTGCTAAGCCTGGCTAGCTAAATTTTATTTCTGTAATTATTAACACTAGGTAAAGACTGAAATGGATTCATAATCAAATATTACTGATTAGCATTTATGTACTAAGTGAACAGCTGTTTTTTGTTTGTTTTGGCAATGCCAGGGACTGACCTCAGGGCCTTGCCCATGTTAGGCAAACACCTGAGCACTTTTAAAAGGTCCCTTCACCCTGTGTTTGCTTGCATCCTCCTCAGTCACACTGGGCTCCAGATCTGTTGTAATGAACTTGCTGAAACAATGTTGTGTGCTAAAATATATACTAGTCCCCCTTATCCACGGTTTCACTTTCCACAGTTTCAGTTACCTATGGTCTAATAAAGAATTCATAAATTTTAAATAACTTGTATTATAATATATTAAGTTTTTTCTATTTTTAGTTGTTAATCTTACTGGGCCAAGTTTATAATATTTGTTAACTTTTTCATAGATATTTACAGGAAAAAAACTACAGGATATAGTACTTTGATCTTTTCAGGAATCTACTGAGGGTCTTGGAATATGTCCTCCGTAGACGAGAGGAGACTACTGTATATTTTACAAAGCTCTCATTTTATTTATTTTGTAAAATTTATTTTCTATTTTATTATTTTTCTTTTCCAATCAGATTTTATTGGTGTATTTTAGATATACATAATGCACATTCATTGTAGAGAATTTGTACCTGTACATGATATAACTTGATTATTTTTTTTCCAGTTTCCCTGTCCTCCCTTCAGCCCTTCTTCCCCTCCCTACTTACAAAAGCTTTGTTTCCATTTTTTCTTTACTCACTTTTTTTTTACGTTTCCTTTCTTTACTTTCTCCTTCCCCCTTCCCTAGATCCCTTCCCCATTTGAACATTGCCTTCCTATTTAATAATACCTAATAACATTTTGGTCCTTATTTATACTTTCGGTTTTCACACCAGCAAAAGTGTGGTGTTCACATGTGTTTGATTTATTTCAGTTAAGAGTATAGTCTCAAAGTGCATCCAGTTTCCTAGGAAAAGCTTTTATTTTAGTTTTAATTACTTTATCGTTGTATTCATTTATTTGGGGGTGCTGAGGATTGAACCTCCAGGTCTTTACACACAAAGCTCCATTTTAGAATATCCATTAATTCCAATTGGACAGTTAGTTTGATCATTATTATAAATTTGGAGAAACTTGAGATTATTATGTAGATAAAACTGTTCGCAGCAGGACACATTTGTTAAGGCAAGGTGGTCTTTCTTAAATCTTTTTTTTTTTTTTTCTTTTTCTCTTTTGGGTTTTTTTTCCAGTACCAGGAATTGAACTCACGACCTTGTGCTTGCCAGGCAGGCACTGTGCTGCTGAGCTAAACCCCCAGCCCCTGTGGTCTTTCTTAAAAGAGTCAACATGTTTTATATAAGGCAGCAGCTAAGACAAAGATATCTGAAATTTGAAGAAAAACATCTACTTTTGAAAGAAGTCAACAGTGTGAATAAATTTGCCATATCTGTTATTAAATAAATATAGTTTTCCCTAAAATCACTGAATGAATTCCATGATTTGCTAGTTGTCTGTCTAATTAAAAAGCTCTTACAAAGACAGCCTCTGTGTACTGATATTGTCATGGGATTATGTTAATCTTTGCTCTGAGCATTAGTTGTCAGTCAGATAAATTTAGTAGTTGGACTAAGGACTCTAGCATAGATTGCTACTGGCAAGTATAAAATTTCTCTCACAGTTGTTTCTCCTTGGCTCTTACGGCGTGCATGTGCTTGTCAACTGGCAAGTGCAAATGCAAATAAAGCCTAGAAGAACTTCAATTTTCAAAAGAGCATGTTCATACCTTGCTACCAAGTCACCCATCTGCTGACAGGCTGTTGTGTAAATGTCTGTTCTCAGGTATTTCATGGGAGCTGGCTTGTGGAGTGTTTTCTGAGTACTGGTATTCAGTTTAGAAAGTTAGTGCCTTACTAGTTTAGTTGGGAAGGCATTTGGCTAAGGGCTAGATTCTAGTTCTAGCTCTGCCTTGTAACTGGTTTGGAAACACGTGACAAATTTCTTTGAGCATTTTGGTCTTCCCATCTTTTAAAAGTGGTTTCAGTGGCTGTAAGGGTAAAAGGAATGATTCAACAAAGTAAAATAAAAGCAAGAGAATATTTTTAAATCTCACAGAGATCATAGTGGTAGTGTTCATTGCCCCATTGACACCTCAAGGGCAATTCATTGTTCTGACTTCTGTAGTACATTCCCCTGGACCCTATGTCCAGATGCATTTCAGGCTTTGTTTTTACTTCACTCTTTTAAAAGCTCACTGTTTATTTTTTACATTTGATATACTGTTGCAGTTTGTTCTTGAGGAGAGTTGGTTACACAACTTGAAAAGTAAGTTCAACATTTTAAAAGTTGCTTGTATTCTGAAACATGTATTTTAGTCACGAGAGTCTAACAGATTCTTAGACCAGAGTTTTAATCCTTTGCTGTTTATAGGAATCTTAGTTTTATAAATGGCAGTTCTGTAATAAAGAACCTATTGGTTTGTTTCCAGTTCTGGGTTTGGATGGAGCAAATTCATTGGAAAAACTAAAGAAAGCTGACTCATGTTCTGTTGAGATGTGAGAAAATATATTTAGTTGAAAATGTCAAAATAATTGAAAAAATTGTGACCATGATTTTTTCACTATTTGCTTAATTTACTGTGTATTTTCTTTAAATTTATTTAATTGCTATAAATGAATATAATGTTTCTCCCAGAAAACCAAAGTGAAATGTTAAATATCTGTTGTTTTGAATTCAGATTTATGTATTGGACTGAATGGGGAGGAAAACCCAAGATAGACAGAGCAGCTATGGATGGAAGTGAACGTACTACATTGGTTCCAAATGTGGGGCGGGCAAATGGCCTGACTATTGATTATGCTAAAAGAAGGCTTTATTGGACAGACCTGGACACCAACTTAATAGAGTCCTCAAATATGCTTGGTAAGCCTTACTCATTTTTGTTCAGACAGTATATTCTTTATACAAAAACCAGTGGCTACTCTTTTATCATTGGTTAGATACTATTAGTGAAACTGTGTGGATATCTAGTTTCTTTCCCTGTTCTAGAATTGTATCATTTATATTATTATTAATAGCTGTTCAGTAACTTGGACTCATACCACTTTAGTATGCAAAAATTTCATTTTGGGGGTTTCATAATGACATTTATAATTCCCTAGTTATTCCTGAGGTGGTTGTTTTTTTTGTACCAACAAAGAAAATTCTGGAAGGAGGAAATGTTGATCTATAGGCCCTTATGTAGAGAAAATAAAGCCACAATCAAAATAGACCATTCTTAGGAGTTTAAACAAATTCAGTGATTTATAGGAGGAATATGAGTTTGAGGCTTGGGGTCAGACAGCAGATGGATCAATTTCAGAGCACTGGTCTTGGTTTTGGAATTGCTTTTAAATGAATTGTTCTATTTTAAATTGCTTACAAATGTAGTATTTTATATATTACAAATTTTTTGGCCATTAAGACACTTGTATTTTCACATATTTCATCTCTCTGTTTCTCCCTTGTCTACTGCCTTTCCGAAAATAGGACTGAACCGTGAAGTTATAGCAGATGACTTGCCTCATCCTTTTGGCTTAACTCAGTACCAAGATTACATCTACTGGACTGACTGGAGCCGACGCAGTATTGAGCGTGCCAACAAAACCAGCGGCCAGAACCGCACTATTATTCAGGGCCATTTGGATTATGTGATGGACATCCTCGTCTTCCACTCCTCACGGCAGGCAGGGTGGAATGAATGCGCTTCCAGCAATGGGCACTGCTCCCACCTCTGCCTGGCAGTGCCGGTTGGAGGTTTTGTTTGTGGGTGCCCTGCTCACTACTCTCTGAATGCTGACAACAGGACTTGTAGTGGTAAGCTGCATTTCCCTGCAGTGGGCCAGAATTAGAGAAACAGCACTTTTTGAAAGTGCTTTAATTTACATTTTTTCTAGAGTAAAAGTAGTAAAAATTCAGAGTTAATCATTTGTATAGTTAAAAGAAGAGGGTCAAGTGGTGGAGGACATTACAGGTTTTGTCACTTACTTGATAGCAGCAACATGATATTATAGGAAAGTTAAGACTTTCACCCTTGGGGATTAAATAGTTTAGAATGGGGGTGGGGGGAGTCACTTGAGTGTTACACATAATTCATTTTTAGTCATTAGGAAAGGAAGAGCAGTATAAATAGTACAATAAAAAGAACCTCAAAATGTAACCTCCTATCATTTAGAATGCATAGAGTAGAAATAAGCAGAAAAAATTTAATTGTATGTAAAGCCAAGAGAAAAATGCACTTGAAAAAATTTAACCCAGTAATAAACAGTAGTCATAGATAACTAGGTAATACATGTCTGAACATAGTAGGTGGTGCTACTTGATTCCTACTGATACTACCAGATATTCTCATCCCCTTTCTCCTTTTCCCCTTCTCATCTCTAGTTTCCTTTCCTGTTTTCTACCATCTCTCTTTTATTTTGCTCTTTATATATACTTTGAGATTCTCATAAAAGAGAAATCATATGCTCTTTAACCTTCTCCAATTTATTTCAGTTGGCATTATAGTTTCAAGACACATCTATTTTCCTACAAATTGTTCACTCTTATCTTTCTTTATGGCTAAGTAGTACTCCTTTTTGTATACATACCACAATTTCTTTATTCATTTGTTGATGAGCATATAAGTTGCTTCCATAATTTAACTACTATCAGTTATGCTGCTGTAAACATATTACTGTAATATGATGACTTTAACTATCTTAGGAAGATAACTATAAGAAATATTGCTGAGTCAAATGCAATTTCTTTTTTTTTTGGTTTTTCTCCGGTACTGGGAACCGAACTCATGACCTTGCGCTTGCCAGGCAGGCGCTTTGCCGCTGAGCTAAATCCCCAGCCCCCGTCAAATGGAATTTCTCCTTTGAGTTTTTTGAGAAATCTTCATCTGATTTCCACAGTGGTGGCATGAGTTTACATTCCCATCAATAATATAGAAGGGTTCCTTTTCCCCTACAACCTTGCCAGTATTTGTTATTTTGAGTCCTTGATGATAGCCTTCTTATTGGAGTGAGCTGGAAGATAAAGTTGGTAAAACTCTTGGAGGCATAGGCATAGGCAGGACTTTCTGTACAGAACACAGCTGCGTAAATATCCACACCCTAAGAATCAATAAATGAGATTAAATCAAGTTTTAAAAGTTGTGTGCAGTAAAGAAAACAACAAACAGAATGAAGAGATAGAGTACAGGAGATTTTTTTCTGCCAGCTACTCTTCAGAGAACTAATACCTAGAATACATAGGTATATAGAAAATTCAAAAAGACTAGACCACAAAAGTGAAGGACGCTGTCAATAAATGGGCAATTGAAATGAGTGAATACATCTCAAAAGAAGAAGTACAAGTGGCCAGTAAGTACACGAAAAAAATGTTTACTATTTTTGGCCATTAGAGAAATGCAAATCAAATTTTTGGTTTAATTTTTCTGATTCAAAAATGAGAATAATAATAGCAACTATAGGGTTGTTGTAAATATTAAACAAGGCATGTGATCTGATTGTTAGAAAGAAGAAGGGACAGTGGGGAGGTAAAGACTAGTGTGGCTGTGTAGGTAAGCTTGGACTGTGGTTGTGGTAGCAGTGATTGAGAGATGCCGATGGACTTGAGATCCTCGGAGCTAGAATGAATAGAACTTAGTAATGGGTTCTATTTGGAGAAAAAGTAGAGAGAAAAAGCAAGGATGACTTCTAAATTAGGTGTCATAGTAAATGGGCTGTCAGAGGAAAGAGATGAGATGGATAGTACATGTCTTGGAATTGCCTGGGTATATTTAAAATGAGTACGATTACCTAGGAGAAAGTATAGTGGAAGATCTGTCAAGCTTTTTCTATGAAGAACCAGACAATAAATGTCTTAGGCTTTGTGAGTGTGTAGGTTTCGACACCTACTCAGTTCTGTCCAATATTCCACTGTCCCATGAAATCAGCCATAGACAATACAGTTTTTAAATGGGAGTGACTGAATTACAGTAAAATTTTGTTACAGAAATAGGCAGCTGTTTAGCTGGGCATGGTAATCCCAGCACTTGGGAGGGTGAGACAGGAGGATCACTGTAAGTTCGAGACCAGCCTGCGCTACAAAGTGAGCTCAAGGCTAGTCTGAACTGCATATTGAGACCCTTTCTCAAAAAGACCCCCCAAAAAAGAAATAGGCAGCTGGCCAGACAGGAAGATTTAGGAACTAAAACTCCAGGGTGTTTAGGCTGGATATGTAGCTTAGTGGTAGAGTGCTTGTTTTGCAGTTCAGAGGTCCAGGGTTCAATTCCTAGCACTGGGGAAATAAACTGTGGGGATCTTTCCTCTAAGCCTTATTGTGTGTCATAGTATGAGTGATGCTTACTCTGTTAGAAACTAGAAGTTCTTTTTTCTGTCTCTACCTCTACATCTCTCTCTCTCTTTCTCTCCCTTTTGCTCCGTCTCTTTCTCTTTACTGAGAAAGTAGTACTGCCAAAAACAATTTTTTTTTTGGGGGGGGGGTCTTTTTGAGACAAGGTCTCGCTATGCAGGTCAGGCTGGCCTTGAGCTCACTTTGTAGCCCAGGCTGCCCTTGAACTCATGACAATCCTCCTGCCTCAGCCTCCTGAGTGCTGGGATTACAGGTGTGCGTCACCACACCCTGGGCCAAAACCAGTTCTTTAGAAAATGGTGAGATTTTTAATACTTAAAGGTGTGGCCTGTACTGAAATTGCTAAAAGTTGTTAAATCAATATGTGATGGATAAGGGAGGTTTCTAATAGATAATTGGGATACTTTTAATTATTCCATGCTGAGTGTGAGCTATTAACTCTAAGAAATGCAAATTTCAGTGTCATAAATGCCAGGTTTCTGTGTGAGTGCCAGTATCTTTTGGGATTTAAGCCAGAAATTTACATTTGGACATCAATGTAAAATAAGGATATTCCAAGTAGTAGAGCTGAGAAGAATGGGGATGAGGGAAAAATAAGCAAGGAGTTGTGGCTTGGCTATTTATGTTTATACTCCTGAGGAGGACAGACTTCTACTGGATTTAGGAAATGACTGAGTACCCAGAGTCGAGAGTATCCCTTTATCTGTGGTTTCACTTTCCATGATTTCAGTTACTTACTGTGCCTACAGTCAGTTACTATCTGGAAATATTAAGTAGAAAATTCCAGAAATTATTCATAAGTTTTAAATTGCACATAGTTCTGCATAGCATGATGAAATCTCCCTGGGATATGAATTAGCCCTTTGTACAGCATACTCATGCTATTTATGCCACCTGCCTGTATGTCGCTTGGTACTTGCCTCTGTTATCAGATCAGCTATCATGGTGTTGCAGTGCTTCCATTCAGGTAATGCTTATTTTACTTAGTAATGGCCCCAAAGCAAAGCACAAGAGAGTGATACTGGCAGTTTTATTACAGTATTATTATAATTATTCTATTTTATTTTTAGTTACTGTTGCTAATGTTAACTAGGCCAGATTTGTAAGTCAGATTTATTACAGGTATGTAGGAAAAAATACAGTATTTATAGAGGAGTAAATATAATGTAGCATTTCAGGCATCTCCTGGGAATCTTGGAATATATACTCCATAGAATACAACTGTATTTTAATGAGAATTTTAAAAATGCTTTAAACTTTGCAGTGGTTGGTGGCACTCTCAAATGTAATTCTTTGCTAGATGTTTCCCAGTATTAAAGGTGACTGTGTAATGATTAGAGGTCCAGTCCCTGGGAGGAGTGCTGTTTCCAAGGCTTTTCCTCATTTCATGAATGTAGAGCATCAACTTAGCATCAAAGCAGATTGTTTCTTTGGGAAAATGCAAGATTTGTTTTGAGGGTTAGAGACACTCATATAAAGCATCTGTTAACTTTTTGGGTAATTTTTACCTCTTTCCTCTCCCTGTATCCATCAGCATATATGCAAAGCAAAAAACGCTGGGCATGGTTGTCCATGACTTTAATCCCAACTCTCTGGGTGGTTGAGGTAGAAGAATCAGCAGTTTAAGCTACCTTGCACAATTTAGCAAGATCCCATCTCAAAAAAGGAACGTTGTGGGGTAGGGATGCAGCTTAACAGGGAGGCCTTGTATTCAATCCCCAGGACTACCCTCTCACCCAAAAAAGCAAAATAAATTCTGTATCTGCAAAGTATTAGGATTTGTTTAGTTCCTGTTACTGCTAAGTTTATTACTGTTACTCCTACTTTTCAAAGTATTTTCACTAAGTTATAAAATTTTACAGTTGGATAAAATTTGATCTAGGTAGGAAGATTGACTAGGTCAGATCACTAGATAGTGAGAAAGCCGAACTTGAAACTAGGTTTGAAGTTTCTGCTTTGATCTATGGAAGCCCAGGATTCCTACTCCCCACCACACACGAGAATAGGTTAAAGAGGAATAGGGTCAGTCACCTGGGAGAAGAGAAGAGTTTTGTATATCTTTATCACATACTTCGTTGAAGTCAAGTCTCCTGTGTTATCTTAGTGTAAGATGGAGAAAAATATGGCTCTGTCACTGAGTATATCATAAGTGATTTAGTAACCAGCATACCATATGGTGTCACTCTGAAGAAAGCTTCAGGGAGCATGCCAGAAGATTCTGTCCTTAGCCTTCCTGTGTCTAGGAGGTACATACAACAGGCAGGTTAAATCTTTGACTGAGACTTACAGTAACTGTATTTTAGATACACTCTTTTCTTTCTTTAAGCTCCTACCACTTTCCTGCTCTTCAGTCAAAAGAGTGCCATCAACCGCATGGTGATTGATGAACAGCAGAGTCCTGACATCATTCTTCCTATCCATAGCCTTCGGAATGTCCGGGCCATTGACTATGACCCGCTGGACAAACAGCTCTATTGGATTGACTCACGACAAAACATGATCCGAAAGGCACAAGAAGATGGCAGCCAGGTAATTCAAGACCCAGTTCAAAACCCATTTCTTCTAACTTGTAATTAGACTAACCAGCTATCTAGCCATCCTATGTGATTTGACTCTGCATGTGTATGTTTGTGTCTGACTGAAATTCTGTAACTGATGATCTTTTCTCTGAGTGAACAGTAATTCAATGATGGCATTGAGTGCAAGTTATACTAGGGTAACTTACTGGCAATGACTTTGTCACTCTCGCCCACATCCATCAGTATTCATTTAGGTAGCCTTGCTCCTTACAGTTTCCTTCGTATGGAGTGTTACAAGTAGTGAAATCACGTAAGCCTCAGTTCTGATTCCAGCTCTTGCACACTACTTTTTACGAACTTTTGAATGGAAAGGAATTCAGACCACAATGAAAGGAATGCAGAGTACATTGCCCTTACCTGTTAAATGTAGGGACTTAATAAATAACAGCTACAGTACTTATTACCTATTGTTTCAAAAGTTTAGAAAGTAGGAAATATATAATACAATCTCAGTTCAAAAAAATAACTGGGGGCGCAGTACTAGGGCCTTTGCATTGAGCTACCTACCCAGCCTTTGTTTTGGTTTGGTTGTTTTGGTTTGGTTTGGTCTTAGTTTTTTAAGGTACAGTCTCGCTATGTAGTACAGGCTGGACTTGAACTTACTACGTAGGCTAGGCTGACCTGGAACTCACAGTGTTCTTCCTGCCTCAGCCTCCAAGTGCTGGGATTATAGGTGTGTGTCGCCACGCATGGCACCAGCCCTTTTTATATTTTATTTTGAGATTAGGCCTTGTTAAATTGTCCAGGCTGGGCTTGAACTTGCCATCTTACTTCAGCCTTCAAGGGATTACTGGTATGTGCCATCACACCCGGCTACAATCTCAGTAAAGTTGAAAACATCTAGAAGTTGTTGATACAGTAAACTTTTTGATAAGTATTATTTGGTGACTATGGGATAGGAACAAGATAGTATCAGTCTTATGTATGCCTGCGTACCAATCATAGATTTACACGCTATTCATTCTTGCTTTCTTTCTGTGGTGGAGAAGCATTAGATTAGGATTATAATAAGTGTTGTCTTCCTGATAGCAGTGATGTTAAGTCAGATTTTGAATGTGTTAAATTTCGGGACTTTACATTACTAATTTTTGCTGTGTCTTATCTCACAATAAAGAGCAAGGAGACAATAAATTTAAGACTGCTGAGGGATCACATGGAGGTGGTCACAGTTGTATAGTGCAGATGCATCTTTCAGGACTAATGGCTGATAGTAGATAGAAATTACAGTGGTTATCCAGACAAGGATATGGCACATAAATAATCCATTGACAAATATGCTGAGTCCTAGTAAATGAAATATGATTTATTCAAGTGGAACAGATAGACATACTCCTCTTGCTTGGCTTTGTAAAAAGAAAATGCTTAAAAAATTTTTGTAGGCCTGGATTTGAAGTTGAGAGATAAAGATGGTTGATGTAGTTTATAGCTATGACTAGTTGTGTTTCTAAAGTAAGGTCCCTCAGACTCAGCACTGTTGACATTTTTAGGCTGGATAATTCTTTTATGAGGGGGCTACCCTGTACATTTTAGGGTGTTCAGCAGCACCCCTGGCCTCAGCCCACTAGATACCATTAATATGTTCAGTGTGGTAATAAAAAATGTCTCTACACTGGGTATGGTGGTGCATACCTATAATCCCAGCACTCTGGGAAGCTGAGGCAATAGGATCCAAAGTTTGAGGCCAGCCTGGGAAACTTAGCAAGACTGTCTCAAGTAAACCAGGACTGGTGATACAGTACAGTGCAAAGGCCCTGGGTTCATTCTCCAGTACTGGGGGAAAAAATGTCTCCACACATTGCTGAATATCTCTCAGGTGCAAAAATCACTCTTGGTTGAGAACCACTGATCCAGAGGTATTTCTAGGATGTAGGTACAGCCATAATTGTCTGCAGTTCACAGGCAGCAGCTGCCACCTTTTCACTCCCATCTCTAATGAAGGCATTATTAGGTTCTTGGAACAACTTATCTGTCTTCTCCTCACTCTTTTGCCCCAGGTTATAATAACCCCAGGGAACATTTGAGATACATGGTGACAAAGAAGCACATTACCAATATATTAGTATTGTGAGCTTCCTGCCTCAGCCTCCCGGAGTGTTTAGATTACAGGCATATAAGAACTGGAGCCCAGCCTGGGCAGTTTAGTGAGACAAGGTCTCAAAATAATATTTTTAAAGGGCTGGGGATATAGCTCAGTCCAAAGGCTCTGGGTTCAATCCCAGTACTGCCCGCGTACCCCCACCCACCCCAAGAAAGGATGGAAGGTATCAGTAAGAAGTGCTCATGAAGACTTGAGATCCTTCTGAAGTGTGTGAGCACATAGGTGTACACTTTTGAGTGATTGTCACAAGGCCATTTAGTGTGGAGTCCTAACTTCTGTGTGTTTTTATTTTTCCCTTAGGGCTTTACTGTGGTGGTGAGCTCAGTTCCAAACCAGAACCTAGAAATACAACCCTATGACCTCAGCATTGACATTTATAGCCGCTATATCTACTGGACTTGTGAGGCTACCAATGTCATTAATGTGACAAGATTAGATGGGAGATCAATTGGAGTGGTGCTAAAAGGCGATCAAGACCGACCCCGAGCCATTGTGGTTAATCCAGAGAAGGGGTATGTCGCGACACGGCATTGAGATACCTTTGCATCTGAGATCCTCCTCCACCTTCCTCTTCACTCCAGGCCATCATTCACTTACCTTTATGTACTTGTTCTCCAGTGAACAACTCAATATTCTGTGTTCACTTGCACCTGCATTTTCTTATAGTTTTCTTCTGCTTTCTCTTGATTTCAGTGTCTAGAATCGCCTTCCTTAGTTTAATTCTAAACCTTAGCATACTTCCAGGAGCATTTTAACTGCCACATCCTCCACGGAATTTTCCTTGGCTGCCAGCCCTACCCAGATGCGATTGTTTCCCCCCTGTATTCTTGGTGCTCCGTATCTGTGCCTCTTGGTCATATTTAATCTTTCCCAGATTGCCTTATACTTAACTGTTTTTCATTCATGTATTTCTTACCAGACCTTAAGTGCCTTTATAACAAGGACTAAGTTTTTTTTCATTTAATACAAAGCTTTACACTTAATAAATATTCAGTACTCAGTTGCATCTGAATGAATGATAAACAATTCAGGATGAAACCTATCAATTAAATATATAAAATGATTAATATCTGACTTAATTTTAGGTAATAAATAGGTTCATTAGGAAAGGGAACTTAAAATTTTGTGTCCAGGTCTTTGACCATTGTTTTGCAGTGTATTGTGTTATTCAGAAAGCATAGGTATGTTTTTATTTTAATATTTATATTAATCTGTGAAAACTCCCCAATAATTGTGTATCCTTTGTTACTATTATTGAAAGTACTAAAAGTACCTTTTTAAAAAATAGCCTTTTAAGGGGGAGAAAGGAATGGGGAAAGGTTGATCAGTGAGTACTAAGTTGTAGTTAGATAGGCTTAATGGGGCTGGGGATTTAGCTCAGCGGCACAGCGCTTGCCTGGCAAGTGTAAGGTCATGAATTTGATTCCCGGTACTAGGAAAAAAACCAAAAAAAAAAAAAAAATAGAAGATAGGCTTAAGTTCTGATTTGCTTTTGCTCCCTAGGATGGTTTTAGATAGTGATTGATACTGTATATTGCAAAAGCTAGAAGAAAGGATTTAGGATGTTTTCTCCGTAAGATGTAAAGATGATAAATGCTTGATGAGATACAGGTATATATGTAATAAATACATATATTAAAACATGTTACCCCATTAATACATACATATTTTCTTTTTGTCTTTAAAAAATAAATTACAAATTATATTTTAAAATATCTAAAACGAGATTGTAAAATATCATTTTACTTCCATTTATTATTGTTTTTTTAATTGTGCTGGGGATGAAACTCAAGGCCTTGTACTTGCTAGGTACATGTTCTACCTATTAATAAAAATATTCTCGTGTGAGTTCTTATTTTGGTAAACTGTTTTTTCTTATCTCTTTAGGTATATGTATTTTACCAACCTTCAGGAAAGATCTCCCAAAATAGAACGGGCTGCTTTAGATGGAACGGAACGGGAGGTCCTCTTTTTCAGTGGCTTAAGTAAACCAATTGCTTTAGCTCTTGACAGCAGGTTGGGCAAACTCTTTTGGGCTGATTCAGATCTCCGGCGGATTGAAAGCAGTGATCTCTCAGGTACTGGGAAGTGTGTTTCCATATTTTATTTTGTATTTTTAAGATGATTCATCAATAGCATTTGTATTTTTCTTGATTGTATTATTTTTGTACACATTTGTTTATAGTTTTATTCACTAAATACAGCGAGCAGCAGGTTAGTTGGGGAATGCTTTTGCTTCAGCATGGATGCAGTTGTTTTCTGTTATCTAAATATATACTGGTTTTCTTGATCTGTGAATCAAATATTGCAAATGTATCTCTTCTCCTTTCCTAATTATTTTGTGCTACTTTATGTTCTCATTATCTCTGGCCTGAATTCTAGCCTGTGATTGATCTCTTCCCTGCCCATTTTTTCTTTCTGAAGGTTTCATGCATAAATTTTGACAAGCATAATTTTAAATACAGAAACATAACTTTCTGAAGCGTGGTTTCTAAACTTACTGCTTTACTTCAGGGTAGATTTATAACCTGTAGGAAGAGTGTTTCCTTGTAGTTTAACTTGGAGTGTAATGGTATTTGCCTTTCACAACTTCATCATGACCTTTTGTTTTATTTTAACTAAATCATTCCATGCTCTGAAGATACCTTCTTGTTTTTCTGCAGTTTTATGTCTCTGCTCATAGTTCTCCTCTACCCTAATTTCTGATGTTCACGTATCATATGACCTCACTAGAGATTAGGAAGATGAAATTAGAATAATAGTATATGTCTGTCAGAGTAGCAAAAATATATTAGACTATACTGAACATTGGCCAGAGTGGTAGAAAATGACATATTCTCATGTACTTTGGTGGAAATGGAAATTGATAGAACATTTATGGAGGGCAGTTTGCCAGTAATTATTGGAATTTAAAATAGGCATTCTCTTTGATCTGGCAGTTTTGCTTGTAGGTGTCTGTATTATAAAAAGACTAACCCAAGTGTACAGTGGGATTCACAAACAATATTTGTGATAGTCTTTTATGGAGAAATATATCAGTATATGAAAAATTACTATCATTCAGAAGACTAAGGTATGTCTGTGTACACTGACATAGGATTATTTTTAAAACTTAAAGTGCATAACAGTGTTTACTATTAAGATCCAGTTTTATTTAAAATACAGAACAATAGAGCTAGGCATGATGGTAGTATACGCCTATAATCCTAGCATTAGGAATGCTGAGGCAGGAGGATCTCAAATTTGAGGCTAGGCTTGCTATGAGTTGAGGCTGACTTTGAACTCACTATATAGGCCAGGCTAGCTTTGAACTTGTGGTGATCCTCCTGTCTCAGCCTCCTGAGTGCTGGGATTACAGGCATATGCCAC